AGAGACAGGGTTTCTCCATGTTGATCAGGCTGGTCTTGAACTTCTGACATCAGATGATCCACCTGCCTCTGCCTCCCAAAGTGCTGGGATTACAGGCGTAAGCCACGGTGCCTGGTTCTAAATTTTGTGTTTTTGGTAGAGACAGGGTTTCACCATGTTGGCCAGGCTGGTCTCAAACTCCTGGCCTCAAGTAATCTGCCCACTTTGGCCTCCTAAAGTGCTGGGATTACAGGCATTAAAGGCAAGCTTTTTGTGTAAATTCGACCATAAGTTGGAAATGGCTTTTTCTTTTCTGAAGTATGGCTGTCCCTCGGTATCCATGGGAGATTGGTTCCAGGACTTCATGGATACCACATCTGAGGATGCTCAAATTCTTTGCATTGGCCTTCTGTGTCCACAGGTTTCACATCTGCAGATAGGGATGGCAAACTAACTGTATGTAATGTTTTTCATTGATGGCTTTTTGCAGGCCTAAACTGAATAGAAATTGATTTTACAGGAGTGTATTAAGTGCATGTTCTATGTCAGGTGACACAAACTCTGTGAATTATGATTTTAACTAGTCCCTGTTTCCTAACTTTATTCAGACACTGAGGATGCTAGTGAAACTGACCTGGCAAAGCATGATGAAGAAGACTATGTAGAAATGAAAGAACAGTGAGTATGATTTTTCTGTGTCTTTTCTGGAACAGAATTGACAACAAAATCTTCATATAGGTTGAGCATCCCAAATCTCAAATCTCAAATGGTTCAAAATCCAGAACTTTCTGAGTACCAGCGTGATGCTCAAAGGAAATGCTCATTGCACTGTTTCAGATTTCAGATTTTTGGATTTGGGATGCTCAGCTGGTAAGTACATTGCAAATAATCCAGAATTTGAAAAAATCCAAAATACTTCTGTTCCTATGCATTTTAAATAAGGAATGCTTAATCTGTAGTGATCTTACGTGTATGGTTTTGACCAAAGCGCTTCCAAAGACCTTGTATATTTGCAGTTCTCCTTTTTACATTAATCACATTTAATCGGTCTTCCCGTTATAAGACTCTGTTGAGTACTCTCTAGAAAAGATCCTGAGGGAAATGGACACAGGGGAGGGAATGAAGCTATACAACAGGAGAGGACCTTTTACCACTTACTCCTTTATTTTATTTTATTTGAGATGGAGTCTTGCTCTGGCACCAGGCTGGAGTGCAGTGGTACGATCTCCGCTCACTACAACCTTCGCTTCACAGGTTCAAGCGATTCTCCTGCCTCAAACTCCTGAGTAGCAGGGATTACAGGCGTGTACTACCACGCCCAGCTAATTTTTGTATTTTTAGTAGAGACAAGGTTTCGCCATACTGGTCAGGCTGGTCTTGAACTCCTGACCTTGTTGTGATCTGCCTACCTTGGCCTCCCAGAGTGCTGGGATTACAGGCATGAGCCACCATGCCTGGCCTTTTATTTTTGTTTTTTAATGGGAAAACCAGTGCACAAAGAGGGTAATTAGTGTCTTGAAGCAACTGGGTTCTCAGATGAGCATGAACTCACTGCACTAACATGCTAGACAAGGTGCCAGAGGCCTGGAGAGCTCAGAGAAGCCATGATTGAAAAACAGGGCTGCTGACTCTTATTTATTTATTTAATTCAGAAGAAAATTTTTTTTTGAGATGGAGTCTCACTCTGTCACCCAGGCTGGAGCGCAGTGATGTGATTTTGGCTCACTGCAACCTCTGCCTCCCTGGTTCAAGCAATTCTCCTGCCTCAGCTTCCTGAGTAGCTGGGATTATAGGCATGTGCCTCCACACTCGGCTAATTTTTGTATTTTTAGTAGAGATGGTGTTTCGCCATGTTGGCCAGGCTGGTCTCGAACTCCTGACCTCAGGTGATCCACCTGCCTCGACCTTCCAAAGTGTTGGGATTACCAGTGATCCATCCGCTACACCCGACCGGCTGCTGACTGTTAGGCCAGTGCTCTGTCCATGTTTGCACATGTTCTCACCTAAGCTTTCTCATTGTCTTCAGACAGAGCCACAGTTGAACAGATCCAGAGAAACGAAAATCCCACTCAGTTTTAGCATACACCCAGTTGGAAGACAGTATAAAGTATATTTAATACATATTTGTTGAACGTGTTAGGTTTTTAAAGTTCTTTACGTTTTAGCAAGATGATCCACATTCCTTTCCTTTAAGGTCCTTTTTGCAAATGTTTGGTGGCTTTTTGCCATTGTTTTTGCGCTTTGTAACTCAAAGGGGGTAATTCAGCTAGGTCTAACCAGTGCTGAATAAAGACAGATTACTTTTTTATTTTGAAACAGAGTCTCACTCTGTCACCCAGGCTATAGTGCAATGGCACGATCTCGGCTTACTGCAACCTCCGCCTCCCAGGTTCAGGTGATTGTCATGCCTAAGCCTCCTGAGTAGTTGGAACTGCAGGCATGCATCACCACGCCTGGCTGTTTTTTTGTATGTGTTTTTAGTAGAGATGTGGTTTCACCATGTTGGCCAGACTGGTCTTTGAACTCCTGACCTCAGGTGATCTGCCTTTCTTGGCCTCCCAAAGTGTTGAGATTACAGGCCTGAGCCACTGTGCTGGGCCACTTTTCTTGAGACAGGGTCTTGCTTTGTCACCTGGGCTTGAGTGCAGTGGCACGATAGCAGCTCACTCCAGTCTCAACCTCCGTGGCTCAATCCATTGATCCTCCCACCTCAGCCTTCCAAGTAGCTGGAACTATAGGCACGTGCCATCATGCCCAGCTGATTTTTAAAGTTTTTAGTAGAGACAAGGTTTTGCTATGTTGCCCAGGCTGGTCTCAAACTCCAGAGCTAAAGCATTCCTCCTGGTTCGACCTCCCGGAGTGCTAGGATTATGAGAATGAGCCAATGTGCTCAGCTTTTTTTTCTTTTGTTTAACAGACAGGGTCTTGCTTTGTTGCCCAGGCTGGAGTGCAGTGGCACAGTCATAGCTCATTGCAGCCTCAGACTCCTGATGTCAAGTGATCCTCCTGCCTCAGCTTTCCAAGTAGCTAGGACTACAGGCATGTGTCACCATGCCTGGTCTGCCTGATATTTTGATTTTTTGTAAGAGACGGGGTCTTATGATGTTGCCCAGACTGGTTTCAAACTCCTGCCCTCAAGTGATCCTCCTACTTTGGACTAAAAAGAATTGCTTTAATAATTAATATGATCTTTCTCACAGTTTCATTTCTGAAGCTTTGCTTGCTCTTTATTCTCTTCAAGCAAAGAGCTTGATTTAACCTTGACCATTTGCGAGGTATTTTTACATACCTGTTACTTTCCTCATGCATGATCTCCATGAATGTGAATTTTTTGCTGCTGTTGATTCTTCAGTTTGTTAGTATTGACAGACTCAGAATTCAAAGTATTGGCTGGAACTGTCAAAGTGCTGGAAAATTTGATAGCTTGGATTTCTAAATACTTGTACGTAGTTTACTCATTTGTTCTCTCTTCTGTACTTGATCGGCTTCAGCATTTTGAGATGGTCTTTTAATTGTGTCCCTTAGTATTTTTTTTTTTTTTTTTTTTTTTTTTTTTTTTGGTTTTTTTTTTTTTTTTTTTTTTTTTTTTTGAGATGGAGTCTCACTTGCTCTGTTGCCCAGGCTGGAGTGTAGTGGTGTGATCCTGGCTCACTGCAACCTCCACCTGCCAGATTCAAGTGATTCTTCTGCCTCAGCCTCCCGATTAGCCGGAATTACAGGCACCGCCACCTTGCCTGGCTAAGTTTTAATATTTTTTTTAGTAGAGGTGAGATTTTACCTTGTTGGCTGGGCTGGTCTTAAACTCCCTGATCTTGTGAACTGCCTGCCTCAGCCTCCCAAAGTGCTGGGATTACAGGCTTGAGCCACCGCGCCCGGCCTGAATTTTTTTTTTAGTAGAGGTGAGATTTTACCTTGTTGGCCAAGTTGGTCTCAAACTCCTGACCTCAAGTGATCCACTCGCCACAGCCTCCTCAAGTGCTGGGATTACAGGCATGAGTCACCTTGTGTGGCCTCTGTTAGTATTTGATGATATAGAAAATAGTTTTGATTAAAATGGAATGTGTTGTATGATTCAAGGTGAACACTGAAAGTACATAAGAATTTGCCCTAAAAGAGTCAGACATCTGTGAGTCTCAGATTCTGTCTGCTCTCCCGCTTAACAGAGAGTTGGGTTGTATTTGCAGCCCTTATTTGAGCACTAAAAAAGTTATCATGCCCACATGCTCACTTTAGCAGCACATATACCAGAAGGTTATTGTGCTTGTTATATGTTGGACAGTGTTCTTTCAGATCACAAATCCTGTTTTTATCACTGTTAAATTGGGGGTGTTATTCAGGTAGAAGCAAAAATACTTGCTGAAATGTGATTTATGTGTGGAATCTACCTTCAAGCCGACTTGCTGAAGTTATGACTGCCTATAATCCATTAGATGTGAGAGGAAAAAAATAACATTCCAAATGCTTTTGCTTTGTGTGTGCTGTGTATTCTCATCCAGCTGGGGCTGCAAATAAATGCTGCCTTTTAACTTTTGTTTCTGAATTACTATTATTTCTCTGATCCTAAAAAAGTAGTGCTTTAAAAAAAATGACATGAAGGTTTATTGACTTAGTTTTTACATAGCTAAGCCTATTTGTTTAGAAAAACATGCTGAAGGCATAATCTTACTCCCTTCTAACTTATAATCTAATTGTAGAGTCGATGTAAGACTTGTGTTTAATGCCATTTCTATGTTGTGTATGTATTGTTTCTAAATTCAGAAAAAAATGGCATCATACTTTGTTTTTTTTGTATGTTCTTGCCTGTTTATCATTGTCACTTATTTATTAAACTCTGCTATTTTCATAGTTGTAAGTTTTAGACAGATTATTTAAAGGTGGGATAACCTGTGAGAATCTACAAAATTAGAGGGAGGAACAGAGTTCTCGTTGTTTTCTGATACCTGTGGCTGCTGGTGCATTTTTTTTTTTTTTTTTTTTTTGACAGAGGTTTACTCTATTTGTTTTTTTTTTTTTTTTTTTTTTTTAAAGACAGTGTTTCACCGTGCTGGCCAGGCTGATCTTGACCTCCTGACCTCAGGTGATCCGCCTGCCTTGGCCTCCCAAAGTGCTGAGATTACAGGCATGAGCAACCACGCCCAGCCTGCTGATGCATTTTAAGCTAGCAGGCCGACTTTAGTTTCCTCTCTTTCCTGAAGGGCATTAATGAACATTAATGATATTCCCTTAACAACCCAGGTCATTTCTGTGGGTAGGTTGTTTTGGAATTGAATATTGAATGTTTTTATCCGGTAGTGTGACTTCTCTTTTTTTTTAATAGGATGTATCAGGACAAACTGGCTTCTCTCAAGAGGCAGTTGCAACAACTACAAGAAGGTTGGTGTGTGATTGAATTCTGCATTTTTAAATATGTTTCTTAATATTACAAACCCTTGAAATCTGTGTATTTCACTTCTCTATGGGAGTTTTAAATAACTGGCTGATCTTAACTATCCAGTACACATTTTGCTGTCTTTTGCTGTCAGTAAAGTGGTGATTTTTAAACTCCTTGATTTTGAAAAATTTATTTCCAATATGTATGAGATTCTTTCTTCAAATAAATCTCATTTGAGGCTTTCAATGGAATACGAATTGAATGCCACTGTGCCTAAAGCTAGATATTTTTAGGAGGGACATTGTTATTAAAGAATAAAGTTTTACTATTTTTTCTAAATCAAATGTTAATGACCTGTGGATTATTCACATTGTGCTTTCTCCTTTTTGCTTGTTAAATTAACAGTGGATGGTATTTTGTCAGATGCCACTGGCTGCTAAAGGCGGTGCAGCTTCGGAGTTAAGGCGCCGGCTCCGCGGTTTTGTGAGGGGTTAGAATCCCATGTTCCCTGCATCTAGTGATGAGACCTTGGGCATGCCACTTTCTCTTGCTTAATCTGTTTTCTGATCTGTAAAATGAAGATAGTAAGAGTAGATGTGATTCTGCGCAAGGAGCGTCTAGCACAGTGGTGTGCACATTGTGAGGCCCCAGGGACAGTTAGCTGTGGCAGTGAGCTCTTTGGTTTCATATTGTGGAGTCCCCTTGTCAGTGAAATTGCTTTTTCTACCATGTGCTTTTATTGCTTGCGAGTGATCCACGCCCTTAGACTAACCTGTGGTCAGGCATTATAATCAGGAAATGCTTCTCTCCACAAGATGGGCCCCTCATAATTAACTGTTTTGTGGGAAGAGCAATGAAATAAATAGCGATTTGGTTAGAATCTCTATCTGATCTGTTTAATATTGTCACTAGCCACATGTGGCTGTTTAAATCTAATTAATAATTCAGTTCTTCAGTTCCACTAGCCACATTTCAAGTGCTAAAATAGCAACAGATGGTTAGTGGCTGCCATATTGGACATTGCAGATATGAAACACTTCTACCAGTGCAGAAGGTTCTGCCGTTAATTCTTAACAGCATTGACCTAGACCTTGCTGAAGGAGAAGGAACCTTTTCCAGGAAAGGAAGGCCCGTCGATTGAGACTGTTGCAGCAACTGATCAGAATAGTGTGGAGATGTTGGCACCTTTCCACTCCCCCTCCCTCACTACAGAACCCTGATCCACTGGGTTGGGTGGACTTTGAATAGGCCCCTAATGGTTTCTGCTGTGTGCCTCGCTTAAGAACCAGAGTTAACTGCCGAGTTGTGACTTCCTTTGGCTTTTGTTTTCCTTTGGTATTACTGAAACAGTGTTGATGCTGGAGAATAATTTTAGGAAACAAAATGTAGAGCAGATTGATACTCACAATAACTTTGTTTTTTAAATGCTTGAAATCAGGTACATTACAGGAATATCAGAAGAGAATGAAAAAACTAGATCAGCAGTACAAAGAGAGGATACGGAATGCAGGTAAGGCTCCTTTAAATGGAAATGAATCATCTTTAAATGTTCGACCATTTGCTGATCATCAGTGTAAGTTAGCCCTAAAAGCCGTTCTCCAAATTGTATCTCAGATATTCTGTCTAGGAGAGTTTTGCAGAAGAGAGACTTCCAAGCTGCAGTTACGGAAAATGGTTTCATCTTTTTTTTAAAGACGGGGTTTCACCATGTTGGTCAGGCTGGTCTTGAACTCCCGACCTCAGGTGATCCACCCGCCTTAGCCTCCAAAGTGCTTTGGATTACAGGCGTGAGCCACCACGCCCGGCCCAAATCGTTTCATCTTTTGCTTCTGTTGCTAAAGAACGGCCTAGTAGTGTAGGGTGTCCAAGGAGGCTCCTTGCAGTTAGGTTGTTCTCCCTGGTACCCCAAGAGTAGTCTTGCACCCTCTTGCTCATGTCTGCATGGCTGGTCTGAAGTACAGTGAGAAGTGCTGATGAGGAAAAGGATTGTAGGTTGTTTTTGTCCTCTTTTAAGTTTGTTTCTTTTGGAATTCTGTGCTAGGACTGGGGAGAGTCCTCTTGTTATTTTCCTCCTGTATTGTTTTTATAAGAACTTAGAGAAAAGGCACACCTTTGATTAGTTGTATACAGTAAATGTATTCAGTTAACAAAAATTAATTGAGCACCTGCTACATCGAAGCACCGTGATGAATATACAGTCATGTAACACATTGCCTTGACTTTAGGAAACTTGCCGTTGCATTGACAAGATACCACATGTGTAAAGCTAAGGAACGCTATGAGTTAAAGAACCATGCAGAAAGTAAGATGTGACAGCTATTGAAAGTGTGTAAACATGGATTCCTCAGATTACAGGGAATCTTGTGTATGTGTTGAATTTTTAAAGCTCATCGTCAGCCAGCAGTTTGGGTGCCAGCAGAGTCCTTGTTCCTGTGATGGTAGAAGTAATGATGGGTTTTAAAATGAGGGCTGGGTGCCACTCCTCATGCTGCTGTCGTCTTTTATTCTGGTCCAGTGACTTTCCAACCCTTCACTCTATCTCCTCAGTGAGAAGCTGCCCAGTGCATACCAACAGATAGAAAAGGGGCTGAAGCATGTGTGGGCACTGAGAAAGTGGAGCCCCGGCTATTAACCCTCTGCCTGTCCGCCTCCTACCTCTCCCTGCTGTATCCCATTCTACTCAGTCCCTGAAGCACCTCCTTGAGATGTCTTGAAAATCCTCAACTGGCTGCTCTTCTTAGACTTCCCCTTTTGCAGATAAAGGAGATGGCATTTGTGGAAGGAGGTGGTCTTATGTTCAATCCTGCCTCCTCACTTTAGATCTGATCTTTTAAGTAGAATATTTGCTCTTGAAACCTCAATTTCCCCATCTGTAGAGGGGAATATCAATGCCTCATGGAATTGGCATAGGATAGAAATAAGGAAAGAAAATGGATGTGAGTCATATTTCTGAAGTTAGAACAGCAGAGTGAGTATAGAATTGTTTTTCTTCATTCTGCTCAGACTCTCAATCCTGTCCTCATGTGTTCTTTCCTTTTTTTTTTTTTTTTTTTTTTGAGATGGAGTCTGTCTCTGTCTCCCAGGCTGGAGAGCAGTCGTGCTATCTCAGTTCAGTGCAATCTCTGCCTCCCGGGCTCAAGCGATTATCCTGTCTCAGCCTCCTGATTAGCTGGGATTACAGGCGCCTGCCACCGCACCTGGCTAATTTTGTATTTTTAGCAAAAACAGGGTTTCACCATGTTGGCCAGGCTGGTCTCGAACTCCTGACCTCAGGTGATCTGCCTGGCTCACTTCGGCCTCCCAAAGTGCTGGTATTACAGGCGTGAGCCAGCAAGCCTGGCCCTCCTGTGTTCTTTCACATTTCTCTCCCCTAGGTAAAAATGTATAAGAGCTCCTAAATCAGTCACGACTTGAGCTTTAAAAAGTACATTCTGCAGAGATGAACCACCTGCTTTAGTGGTGTCTGGCTGCTTTAACTGCAGCAACTGGCACCTCTAAGTGCTAATTGTCATCTCGACTTGGTGCAAGGCATGATTTCTTGGAATGGCACAGGAGTCCAGCTCTCTGGCCCACTTGTGCATGGTACAGGTCTGAAGCTGTTACAGGAATGATCACATTGGGTTGGGTGTGCCTTGGTTCCTATCCCCAGCAATTCCCAGTGCCAAAGTGGGTAGGACTTCTGGGGGCTAAAAAAATGATGAGTGGCTTGTCCCTTTCCTCAGTTGATTTTCTCTGTCAACAAGTATTCATTGACATCTGGGCTCTTAATCTGGGGTTCCGGGAACTGTCAAAATTCTGTGCAGTTTGTGTGAATTTGTATATGTGCTTTTTTCTGGGGACGGGGTTCGTAGCATTTGCCAAGTTTGCCAAGGGGCCCATAGAAGACTGAGAATAGCATCTCCATGAGTTATTGGTCCACCGAGAATCTTTGTGGACTGTATGCACAGCCCCCTGCCACCCAGAAAAGAGTAGAAGCCATGGACCAATTTTGCTTCAAGTTGTGGGTTTGTAGACAGGTTTCTACTCTATTGTAAATCTAGGTGTGAGGGAAGCTGCTAGGTAACAGTTTCGAATCAACTGGTACATGGTAGGTGCTAACTTAGTTGTTGAGTGCTGTTAGATAAGGCATCTGAAGGGCTTGATGAGTGAAAAGTCATCAGGAAAGGCCTCAGGAGTGGGCTGCATTCAGTCAAGAACTTGGGAACGTGAACAGGAAATCAGAGGGCATTGCAGGGGCAGACACCTGCATGAGCAGAGCTTGGCACCTGACAGTGAAGCCCCAAGAGTGCCTGGAGCCTCTGTCTTGTGGATTCTCTGTGAAGGTCCTTCCTTACTACACATAGCCCTTCATATAGTGCTTTAAAACAGGGGTCTTGGCTGGACATGTTGGCTCACGCCTGTAATCCCAGAACTGTGGGAGGCTGAGGCAGGCAGATCACCTGAGGTCAGGAGTTCGAGACCAGCTTGGTCAACATGGTGAAACCCTGTCTTACTAAAAATAGAAAAATTAGCCGGGCCTGGTGGCATGCAACTGTAATCCCAGCTACTTGGGAGGCTGAGGCAGTAGAACTGCTGGAACCTGGGAGGCAGAGGTTGCTGTGAGCTGCAGTCACGCCACTGCACTCCAGCCTGGGTGACAGAGTGAGACTCTGTCTCAAAAAACCCAAAACCCAAAAAAAAACAGGATTCTCCATCTCTCAGGCTGTGGACCACTGGGCTGCATCCCCCCCACCTGCTGCCTGCCCACTTAACCTGCCCCAGTTCACGGGAGAATTGTCTTCTACCAAACTGGTCTCTGGTGCCAAAAATGTTGGGGACCACTGCTTTAAAACATTGTATCCACTCTGCTTTTGGAGTAATTGCATTGTTTCTTTTTGACCCATCCAGCCATGTGGGGACCGTTGAGGGTGCACTGAGTGAAAGGAAGGATAACTTTATTTTGCCAGAGTAGTTTGATTTCTGCTGCTCATTTTTTTCCCTCAGGCAGAACTGCCACGGGGCCACTTTTTTTTTTTTTTTTTAAGACCAAGTTTCATTCTGTCACCCAGGCTGGGGTACAGTGGCACAATCTTGGCTCACTGCAACCTCTGCCTCTCAGGTTCAAGTGAGTCTCCTGCCTGCCTCAGCCTCTTGAGTAGTTGCGATTACAGGCGAATGCCACCATGCCTGGCTGATTTTTGTATTTTTAGTAGAGACGGGGTTTTGCCATGTTGGCAGGCTGGCAGGGCCACATTTTAACTACACTTGAGTACTTCCTGCGTCCTTTCCCTTCGTGTATATCAGCGTTTCACTGATGAAAACATGTGCTCTGTGTAACATGCTTTCAGAAAACAATTACTGCTTCTAAATGAATGCTAACATTGCTGTCTGGAAAGGTGGCACAGCCTAGCAAATCTAATTGCACTTTTTATCTCTTGCAGAACTCTTCCTCCAGCTAGAAGTAAGTACCATGGATCTTCTGGGTTTGCAGGCTCTTTCTGAGACTGGAATCTTGCTGTCCTGATCTGGTGGACTTTCCTTTTATCACCAAGTAGATATTTTGGAAGTCTTCACCACTGTTCTGTTTGACTAAAGGACATTTGGTCTCGGTTCAGACATCCTGTCTGTTCACTTGTTGTGCAGCCTCTGCTTATCACAGAGGAATAAGGAGGACTCACCCCTCACTGCTTATTGACTTTTTTTTTTTTTTTTTTGAGAAGGAGTTTTGCTCTATTGCCCAGGCTGGAGTGCAGTGGCTCGGTCTTGGCTCATCACAACCTCCACCTCCCAGG